TTAACAAAAAACAGAAATGTGGAATGAAGGAGTGATAATCTCACTCTTCTTGGTGCCGATTAGTCCTCCCTTGAAAAATCTGCATTTTATTCTTTAAGAAAAAGAAGTTGGGCATGGTGGTGCATGATTGCAATCCCAGTGGATCAAGAGGTTGACACAAGAGGATCACAGGTTCAAAGTCAACCTTAGAAATTTAGTGAGGCCCTAAGCAACTTAGCGAGACCCTGACTCAAAATAAAATAGAAAAAAGGGCTGGGGATTTGGCTCAGTCATTAAGCAATACCTGGTACAAAAAATATATATATATTAGAGAAAACTGAGGCATGAGTGATGATGACAGTAAGGGGTGTTGCAGTAAGTGGCCTACAAGGCAGGATGGGGTAGTGGAAAGGACTCAGGCCAGGGAATAGGAGTCAGATGACTTTGTTAATGGGCTTCAAGATTCTGGCCAAGCCAATATTCCTCTTGGGAGCTTGTAACAGGACTCCCCAAGGAGAAGATGGTGGCAGCTGGCTTTCTCTCTAAGGTTTTGGTCCTCTGCTCAGGCCCCATTATGGGTATGTTTCTTAATCCCAGCCAGGGACAAGGCCTCCTGAGTCCCGGAGCATAAATTTGCATTGTTGAAATGCTGTTCAAAAATGATAGCAATTCCCTTGGAATACTTTCAAAAACAGACCTTCTCTGACTTCTGGGGAAGCCAAGACAGTGATAATTCACATTAACATCACCACACACATTAAGACTTTGAAATCATATGGACCTAAGTTCAAAACTCAGCCTCTCCTATGGGCTTGCCAAACACAGGCAAGTTACTCAAATTTTCTGAGACTCAGTTTCCTTGTCTGTGAGATGGCATTAATTCAGGTTTGTAGTAATGCAAATATTAAGAGGAGACAACTCACGTTCAAATATAGCATAATATGAGACACAAAGTAGATGCCGAATAAATGCTATAACTAGTATTATTATGACATTTATTACCACCTTCCCTCTTTTTTCTTCCTTCCCCTCATCTCCTCTGGGCTAGTCATGATGTCAGGGCAGATGATATGGTGTAGAAAATAAAATGGACATAGACAATCCTTGCCTGCACTAAGTTTACACTCTAACCAGCATAGTTCAGTTGAACTTTTTGCAGTGATGAAATGTTCTGTCTGTTCTCCAATTTGGTAACCAAAAGCCATATGTGATGTTTATTAAGCACTAGAAATGTGACTAACATGACTAAAGACTGGATTTTTAATTTTATTTCATTTCAAAGATTTAAATGAACATGGAAAGAATGTCATATGAAAATAGACAGGGACCTTTCTAAGGCTGACCAGGCTTAAAAGAATAAATATGCTGAAAGAAAAATGCATATAAGGAACCCAATACAGTGCCTGGAAATATTTATTTGTTCATTCCTCACATTTAATTGTCAATTAAGCACTGAAACAATCTCAGGTGCTGGGGAATATAGGAAAGAATTAGGCATGGTCTCTGTTCTCAGGGAACTCACAGTTTAGTGGGGGATATGCAAATAACTGATTTCACCACAGTGAGGTAAGCGTATGTACAGGTGCTGCGGGTTGAGAGTCCCAACTCCAGTGAACAGCAAGGGAGGGCTTCTCAGAAGGACATTTTAAGTCATTAGCTGAGTCTTGCAAAAGTAAATCTTAGAGTGGGGCTCAACTGTAGTTACTCCATGTGCAATAGTAAATTGTACCCCAGGGCTAAGCCTACTGCTTGTGGCAGAGGTGACTAGGGGGCAAATACAGATCTAGAGAAAACTCATAGCTACAGTCAATTTGCTTTCTTTCAAAATTGTGTGTATGTGTTTTTAGCCAAACTCTGTTACTTATGATGTAATATCAACTCCTATTATGATGGAATTCTACACATTCATAAGTGAGGGTTATTAATAGTTACTTGCGTGAAGAAGTGAATGTTATGTTATGCACAATAGTTTATTTGTTTAAAATTAACATGTGACCTTTAGCCAAAGAATTCTACATATCTTCATTTGATTTCTATAATCACAGTTGAGTATATAAAGTATGGTGATGTGTGTGGTTCCTTCTCCTATGGGGTTAGGGAATGTTTCTGTGGTGTGGCTTGGTCTTGTGAGGCCCTGAACAATGTCACCTGCTTTGACTATAACAGTGTTGCCTCTGGTGAATGGAAGTATAACTTGGTGTAGCCCTTTTGAAAAGTGACTTCTGATATATGTTGGGAGCTTTCAAACAGTTGTGCCCTTTGGCCCAGTGATTCTACTTCTGGGAATCTATCCAAAGGAAGTAATTGGAAATGTGTGCAGTAAAGACTTTGCCCAGAGTTATTTGTAGTTGTTAATAATAGGAAACAACTTACATGACTAACAGTGTGATAATATGTAGCCAGGATAATGATGTTCATGAAAGACTTTTGCTGCAACACCAATTAAGAAGAAAAGTAGAGAATAGCTACAGAGGTGAAGCATCCACGTTGTGGGGTCAGGCAGCTTGGATTTGAATTCTGGCTCCATTGCTTACTAGCTGCCTGACTTCAGCAAGTCACCTGAACTTTATGCAATCCTAGAGAATGGGGTTGATAATAATACTATCTATCTCAGAGGGACTTCTGAGGAGTAAATGACATAATGAGTATAAAATGCTTAACACCATGCAAAGTACATTTACTAGGTTACCTATAAATGTTGGCCCTCTATAGACTGTATAATTTCAAGTCATAAAAATAGATGGAGAGGCTGGGGTTGTGACTCAGCGGTACAGTGCTCACCTAGCACATGCAAGGCCCTGGGTTCAATCCTCAGCACCACATAAAAATAAATAAATAAAATAAAGGTATTGAGTCCAACTACAACTAAAAAATAAATATTAAAAAAATAGATGGAAAAGAAATATGTCAATATATGAATAGTGTGAGGCCTGGTGGCAAAATCATGAGTGATTTGTTTCTTTGCAGTTTTCAACTTCCAAAATTTTCTGCAATAGACTCAGCTTACTTTTATACTAAAAGAGTATAACATAGAGTTGTCATACAGTCAGATATTTTTAAAAAAGAATTTTACCACAATGAAAGTATTTCTCTTCCTTCTTCCTCTTTCCCTTCCCCAAAGGAGCTAGGGGCCAGCCCTGGCAGAGCCTCACACATGCACAGTCTGGGCCTCTGGGAGTGTCAGGGCTGAAGGGATCCTTGACACTTTTTTGTAGTATTGTGTGGGAAGTTGAGGGGAAGCTAGAATAAATATCTTAGTAGCCTCTCCTATCTCTGAGAAGCTACATTCCAAGTTACTCTGATGTTTATCACCTTATCACACCCTCCCCCCAGTCTTGGTTGATCTGAACCAAACATCACAGAAAAAACGTAAGGAGGGAAGGACTCATCTACCAGCTTCCCACCAAAACCCCTCTCAGAAAAAAATACCTGTCATAGCACCTGTAATGCTGGACTTAAACACACTAACTCAACTGGCAAAACAAACAAAACAACAAAACTCCACTTAGATCAGGAGTAAAACAAAAAGTTAGCTTAGTTGCAGCCACTTTATTTAGTAAGTACAATTTATATTCAGAGTGGAATTTCTGGCAAATACAGTCCTTTCTAACATGACAAATGTGGAAATACCTTCCCACATTAGGCCATATCCCTGGAATGAGAAGGGCAATAAAGCATAAAAGGGTGTGTGTGTGCATGTGTGTGCACTGGGTTTGTGATCAGACCTTGACATTTGAGCCCTATGATCTAATGTCCTTCATTGACAACGAAGGTACACACCTGTGCTCCAGCAAGTGGCTCTGCACGCTGTATTTTATAACAGAATCCCAGGCACAGAAATAACCAAGTTGATGCCCTCATCTGGACCAGAAGGGCAGTTTCTGGTCCTGTGACTTGACCACTGTTCCTCAACATGTCTAGAGGTGACCTCTGTGCACCTTTAGATGCAAGACCCCCTGAAATGAAAGCATGACAAACAGCCTTCCTAGGCCTTCCTCCCCACAGAGAGGACAACGTATGCTAATGAGGCCTGGGGAGATAACCGCTCAGCACCGACCTGGGAGACCACGGGTTCACAGCGCTCCCGCGCGCCACTGCAGCGCAGCCACAAATCACCTTGCTTTGCATCAGACCCTCCTGCCGCCTGGGGCGATTGGAGGAAGGGTCTTCAATGCCACCCAGAGTTCCACAGCTGGATCGCTCACGTCTGGGAAATGTCTCCTCTGCCTCGTCCCGTGCTTTCCACTGCAGTGATGGCGGGGATGGAGGCGACATAGCAGAATCACCTGTGGGGCTTTGTGGAGCTCCACAGCCCCCTCCCAAAATTCTATTCCACTCGTTGGGAATGAAAGATCTCAGATTATGGAGGGAGAGGTGGACTGGTGGAGTTTGTGAAAGCCCCACAGGTGATTCCGAATCCCGCCCCTCAAGACACAAACACACGCGGACACAGCTTGCTCTGAGACTACACGGGTTAGCGTTAGATTTTCTTCCAGATCCTCCCCTTTCTTTATCTGCCAAGTTGTCCGTGTTCTCTTCAGCTTCCCTGTTAAGCCCACCAACCCAGAGGCTTTGTGGAGTGCCTCAAAGTCTGGCCGCGGGACTGTAGAAGGCACTGGCGGCCAGACATTAGGAAAAGCGCCTCGTGCTCTTCGCAGCTCTATGCTCCCAGGAGCGCAAACTGGATTCCAAGGAGCCAAGGTAAGTCCAGAAGGTTAGAAATTCGACCAGTTGCTTAACCAAACTGCCTGTAGCAAGGCCGCCTTTCTTCGCAAGCCCTTCGGTCTGAGGACCTCCCAATCACAGAGGGAGCCGGCGCCCCACCCTGCACCCCTCCAGTGGAGCATCCCCTCCTGCAGCTTTGTGGCAGGTGGCACTGCCAGGGCGGGTGCAGTGGCCTTGTCTGCAGCCTCTTCCCTGACCATGGGACCAGCTCCTGCTTTGCCCTCGTTTTTCCAAGTTGCTACACCCCGCGCCTCCGGAGCTAGAGACCCCCTCCTTTACGACGGCAGCGGTCTTACCTCACTATGCAACACTTGGTTGCGCGGTTGCCTGGGGCGCTCCTTTCTCGAATCTTATTCCCTTACTTGGGAGGAAAGAGGAACCGAAAGACAGAAAGGGGACCGAAGCTGGCGTCTCGGCGTCTTCCCGCCCGCGCAGCCTTCTCGGGGGAGGGGGATGACGGCTCCAGTGCGCTGCTAGGAGATAAAGCGACCCGCCTGCCGTTAGGCAGCTCCCAGGGTCTTCCACCTCTGCTGGGGGATCCGCAGCTTGAAAGCAGTCTATCTCGCCTGCCCGCTACTACGGCACTGCGGCTCTGCACCCTGTCCCTCGCAGCCTGGCAAGTCCAGCTGCCACTCTTCACCGCGGAGCCCTGCCCCCGGGCTCAGAGCCCGCCCC